TTTCAGCCTCAAAGCCTTTGGGGCCGGCGCTGGCTGCGCCGCTCCGGGGAGGCGGGCGGGCCCCGGCCTCCGGGTTTTGTGTCGAGTTTGTCTTTCTCCACGCGAGCCGCTTTCCCCGAAAAGTTGTAGCAAATGGTTAATTTGATTATTCCCACTATAGGCCAACTGCTTCAGCAGCCTTCCCCCACGCGTCTGGCTTGGGCTGGGGGGGAAGGGGAGGGGGGAGAAACCATCTATAAGAAATAATCGAATCAAAATGAAGTGTGGAAAAACCCCTCCTGATTTCCAAGCGGCACAAATACAATTAGAGCCTGGTCGCCTTTGCCAAAAAAACAAAACAACAACAAAAAAGAGAGCCCTTTTGTTTCCACCCCAAACTCAAATCCCTCCAAGCTGCGCTGGGGCAGGGCTATTGACTGAGCCGGACAGGGGCATGTGTGAAGATTTCCCTCAGGGAAGGGACCAAGGTAAGGCCCCGTTTGAGCCCCACGCAGACAAGCAGGGGGCGGCGGGATGCTCAGGGGCTCTCAAGGATCTGAGTGAAACCGGGCTGCCCGCGCCACAGAAACTTCTCTGGCCTATTCTTCACTATTCATGGAGGAGAATCTTCCCCCCTCCGGCCCAGCCCTGAAAGTCAGCAAGAATGTTTGAGGACAGGCCAACAAAACGGCCAACAAAATGCCTTTGTCCTGAAGCAGCAATTCATGGCAAAACGCTTGTCAGGCCCCTAATGTCTCACTTCTCTGAAGCTGTTTTACCGCAGGCTAAACACAATAACACGGGGATGAATAAAATATTAAATACCAGGGAGGATTGCTCTTTGATTGCTTTATTTGGGGGAAGACAACGGCAGAGCTAAGGCGTGGACTCGGACCTGACATTTGGTGACAAGAGAAAAACACTTCCTGTCTCATTTGTTCCTGTCCTTTTACCTGCCTGGGGAGCCCAGCTCAGAAGCTGTGAGACTTATTAGAGCCACTCCCTGGCATATAAAGCAAGCAAGAGCAACGGGATTGGTGGACTTTAATACAAGGAAATCTTAGGTTGGTTTTCTCTGCCCCCAGATAGCACCCACCATCTTCCAGCAGTCAACTTCCTGGATGCCCAAGTGTTCTTAACTTGTGTCTGCTACAGGCAACATCTCTCTCTCTCTCTCTCTCTCTCTCTTTCCTGCTTAGAGAATAGGCAAAGAGCCTGATCCGTTTGAATGGAGTTTCTTTTCCCCTCTGATTTTGTACGTGTGAAGAAAGTACTGAGGGACAGCAAGGGGGGTCACACGGGGGATCCACCTTGATTTAGCTACTTCCCAATAGACCCCAAGAGCCTGGTGCATTCCCCTGGAAGGCTGGCACTAGGGCAGCCTTATTTATGTAGCCGTACCCAAGCAAGAGTCATCAGCCAACCATCCCTAAGTGGAGGCAAGGAGTTTTGCATTCAGTTTCTGTACCATGTTAGGCTTCAAACCTTGCAAAAGGGACCACCTTTTTGATGGCTTTACCTTTTCCAGCGATTGTTTTTGGGTAGAGTTATTGTTGTCTTTCAGGCTTGTGTGTACACAGGGTGGAGGTGTGAGTTAATGCTTGCACTGCTTGCGTTTGGGTGTTATGTCTGAGTGGTATCTGTGTTCTGAAACACAAACGCACAAGACCCGTGTATTTGTTGTATGTCTCTGTGCTGCATTTATGTGCCTGTGAGTGTTCTTTTCTTTGTGTGCGCATGATTGTTGTCATGTTTCCATGGGTTCTCATGTGCATGTGTATGGGAGAGTTCTCCCTGGATGCTCCAGCATGCTGTGCGTGTTATGGGGATGGCCTGTTGTGGCTGGCTTTTTGCAGGGGTAATTTCCTAGTGGAAAGCAGCAGAGTAAAGCTTGCCTCTGGCATACAGCAGGCTCCTTCCAGCAGGGGGATGTACACATGACTTTTTGCAGGAGTTCTGTTAACAGTGGTAACATCTGCTGGGTTGGAGGAGACAGGGCGTTTGAACAGACGCACAGATGTAAAAGTGACATCTGCCTGTGACAAAGGAGCAGAAATTAAATTAGGCAAGGAGGCCTTTCTGTCTGCAATAAAAATCCTAGCCCTGACTATGCAAGCAGTATGAGGAAGAGGATCTGAAAGAGAGTCAGAGAAATGCTCAGTGGGTAGCTGCTGCAGAGATTAGGGAAGCAGAGAAATCCGCTCTCTCTCCAAAAGCAGGGAGATGGTTGCTCAAAGCTTTCTGTTACTGTGGGTGAAATACAGCAGGAAGAGCACACACCAACTGCTGCAGCTTCCTGAGCCTGACGAAGGGTTTTTGAACCCGAAAGCTTGCTTAATAACTATTCTCCAACCATTTGGGTTGGTCTAATAAAAGATATCGAATTCACCCAAGGAACCTTGTCTGCCTATATCCTTAGACCAACACGGCTACAACCTAAACCCCAGCAGGAAGGTAAAGTACTGCAGGGATTTGCTGCAAGGGATTTGCTTCTGAGTTGCCAGAAAAGCCTTCCAGCATAATTATGTAACAATGCAGGTAGTCAGTGTGCACCTTGCTTGGGACAAAGATTCACAGGCTAGAAATTTCTTTTTCTTTTTTTAAAATAAGTTTATGGAAGTTCATGAAACAAACAAAAGCTTGTGATAACAGACAGTTAAAATTGCACATGTAAGCATTCAGAAGTCAAGGAATACCAAAGCTGCCCTTGCCCGTTCAACCCTATCCCTGTCCTTTGTGCACATGCATTATGATATAATCTTTAATTGTATGACAACCCACTATTTCTCAAAGAACACCATTTAATATCCAATAGCCTTCTCCTCCAGTATTTTCCAAGTACACAGTGAATCATTGATATTTATTGTGGATATTGTATGATGTGCAGTGAGAGTTCCTTAGTCTTTTTACTCATGCCCTTTTATCATTCACTGAGTATGTCATATTGACA